CTGTACCCATGAGATTGTGTCACGTGTCACCAGTGCTGGTGGCGATGATGATTGGTGAGGATAACGCAATGCTGGGACCTGTATTATCACTGGCGACCACTGTACCATTGCGCCATGGTCAAACACTTATGAGGGCGATTATATTCAGCAGGCCAACTTTGTTGAACAGACTATATGCTATACCTTTCCACTATATGATAGAAAATCAGGTATATTTTGCAATCAAACATAAGCTGCAATAAGTTATGTTTGTAAAATATTACCATGATTAACTTAAATTATATTAATTAAGGTGGTGGAACAGTAACACGGTAGTTTTTAATTAACAATAATGTTATATCAATTGATTTTGATTAATTTTATTTATAATAATTTGCATTAATAGGTTGATTCGGATATGGTGATCTGGGTGAATTTCCAGAAACAAAAGCGCCCGATATTTACCCGCAACGACGCGCTAATTGTCTGGTATCGGCGATATTGTCAACGGTTTTACACTCAACTAAATTGAAAATTAATTTAAATATGCTTAAAAACTTGACATGACTTTAAAATGTTTTAATAAATATACTAAATTTTTAACTTATATAAATCTCTAGCGAGTGGTCGATATAAATCACTATTGTTTTTGTATTGCATTGTAAATGATTTCCAGCTCTCAAACATTATTTCAAATATTTTTATTATTTTATAAGTTATAAGAAATAACAAAACTAAACTACAATACTGAGTGTATTCGACATTTTTAAATAAACCCAAATATTATTATTTTTTGTAATTCAAAAATTACTTATCAAATGGTGACATTACGTAATAAACATTACATCAATATGGTATTATTACGGGTAATATTTGGTTTTAGATTTAATTTGTAACTCAAGGTAGAGTTAGATGTAAACTTTATATCTCATTGAATATAAACTTTATATCCGGTTTATAATTAAATTACATAGAATTTTACCGTTTTCACAGATTTTTATAGCAATTCCTAGTATAATATTTGTGAACACTAGTAACACATACGGGCATTTAAATTGAAAACATGTCGGTCCTCTCAAACTGTTAACTATAACTTTGCTCAATTTAATTACTACTATTATCAATAGCAGCAATTGAGCATTTCAAAAGATTTACAACAAAAAAAGTTAGTATATATAAATAATATTTGTATATTAAATTGATATTTGTAGATTTAAAAACCAGCCAACCTGGTCACCATAGCAATGACCCACAACGAGACCAACAAACGCAAGTACCCGCTACCGGCCGAAGCGGTCATAGTATTGCCCTATCATTACAACGAAATCCACGCGCGTATAGACGCGCAGTCCAGGCAGTGGCTCCTGGAGTCCAGTTTGTTTACGCCGGAGCAGTACAACCGGTTGGCCGACACCGGGCTATACACCGCTTATTTCTACCCATTCATTACGGATGATGACAGGTACGCAACTCAAACACTAATATGTAATATAGATTGTTATAAAACAAACATGGTCACAGGTACGATGTGCTGAACCGACAAATGATAAACTTTTTTATCATCGATGACCAATTGGAGACCCCGTACGGCGATATTGACCGACAGGCGGCCAAAGCGAGTCCCATACTCGACCAGCTCTATCAGGTGTACGATAAACTGTTGGCCGGCCCACAGGGCGCGCACGTGCCCGCACACCACTGGAAGCCCTACGTGTTGGGCAGTTACGCCATTCAGGATCACATTTTCAGCGCTATCAATGATGTGCAGCGCCGGCGCTTTATTCAACTCTGGACCGAATGGACCGACTCTATGATGACTGAATGCGTCGAATTGAATAATAAAAAGCAACACGACGATCTAGATGAATTCTACGAGGTAAGCAATTTTTTGAAACAAAATGATTGATAAAATTAAGCCAAAATACATTTCTAACCACAATTCAGCTATATGTATGAATAATGTGGTTTATACGATAGTTCGGCGGATCTAAACGTAACAAATATGCGTATACAGGGTTATTAATAATAAACAATTTTAAATATTACTTAAAAATAAAACATTTTTAGTCAAACTTCCCTTGGAGGTTGATTGATTGATGTAACAATGTCCCCGGTGTAGTCCACAAACTTTTAACGTAAACTTTATATTTAGCTTATATTAAAAGTTTGAGATCATAATCAAATTAATAAGTTTTAGGCGCGTGCTATTTTTAAATAGACTTATAAGTTATATTATATGCATCAATTCTCTCTCTCTCTCTCTCTCTCTCTCTCTCTCTGCTTACCTTGCTTACCTAGTCACCAGTATATTATTGTTATAATTGTTTTCTATATTTTATATTGTTTATTTTATGAAAAAACACACTTGAAAATAAACAAGGTAAGCAGAGAGAGAGAGAGAGAGGGGGAGACTATTATAATAGCCTTTATATTCAATATAATACAATTAGTAATTG